ATTTATTACAACTTGGGTTTTATCTCTATGATTTGGCCATCATTTCTATAAATTGTGATAACATTGCACTCACCAAAGCAATTGACCCTTGGCTAAAAAAGTGAAAACAGGTTAAAAAGATAGAAGCTAAAGCGACAGACCACAGTGTAAAAGTGAACCAGCACATCGCCTGGAGATCCAGACAGAAGACAGTGAAATAAAGGAACTCTGTCCCTGTCAGCTGGGTAGATCTTTATATACTGTTATAATAATTAAAAAGCAAAAGCAGCATGTGTACACATAGAAGTGCTAATGCTAGTTAATGATGTGCTAAGTTACTCTGGTAATGTTAATGTAGAAACATAACAGTTTAGAAACCTTCATCTTCTTGTGACGAGTATCACTATTACACAACATTTAACCATGACTAGCTCCAAGTCCACAAGATCTGAAAAGACTGCATGACAGTCTATGGAGCTGAGCCGGATGGTTGTCGGACCGTGGCTGGAGCTGGCTGATACTAAGCTATGATTTCTGGTCAGTCTGCGTTTGAGGAACAGAACTTAGCAAAGGGTCAATTGCAGAGATCTGTAAACACGGCAACATCAGACAGTTAGATAAGAAACAAGTCGACATTTATTTCAGATTATCAAAGCACCTTAGTGAGGTAGAAAGGAAACGAGACAGTGAGAGCACCTGAAACGCCACTAATGGCTCACTGCACAGGGAACCTTCAGTCAGTACAGCAGGAGAGGTAAAACAGAAGGTCGGTCTGTGAAACTAGAGCGGCTCGTCCTTCTCTCAACGAAGCCGGAGCGCTTCTCGAATTATACAAATGTTCAGAACCACCATAAGAATACTTTTTGAACTTGTGATGACATGTTGTTATGAGCTCTGTAAAACCAATAAAAATGCCAAATCCATCCAGTGAGGCCAGATGTGCTAATGGCTTCCAGAGAGACCGTCCAGCCTGAAGGTAGGTAGGTTCCTGCACTGCCCCCCCCCCCCCCCCTCAGTATACTCTTAATTGATTTAATCATTTTGACCAGGTCTGCAGAACAAATCATCAAGCAGACACATACCGACCACATTTTGAAGTTCATTGACCCATTTTGACTTTTTTATACTTGATACTTAGTCAACAATTGTTTGGGAGAAATGAACTGGTGCTGAGTTGTAGCGGGCATGAAAACAAATGTAACCGGAGCTAAAGAAGCAGAAAAAAATGGAACTAAAATTGGAGAAATCTCAACAAAACTTTATCAAGAAACAATCCTCGATTTATTCAAGTTCACGTGTGAACTGTGTTGGATTGTAAATCCTTAACAGAGACCTGGGAGGTAATATTGAGATTTTTAAAGGAATAGTCCATTTGGTAAACATTCTGGTAAATATGCTCATTCCCTTTGTTGCATGTCACCCCCACCTCATCTGTCTTCTGCCCATCTTTGAACAAACGAAAAATGCCCAAATACATTTTTTTACTTTTAAGTACCGAGCTGCTGACAGGACGTGGTTAGCCTAGCTTAGCATGAAGTCTGGAAGCAAGGTGAAACAGCTAGCCCAGCGCTGTCCACAGTAAAAAATGCTTCAGTAAGAGTTTGATTGACAGATGGTTCGTCCCATCACGTGCCAAGTGTTTTTTCAAAGGGCCTACCCCTACCCCCAGTTTCCAATGAGGGCTTCTCCATGGTTCTGTGGAACAAACCATCTCTGCTTCACCTTTTGCTCGGCTAACCATGCTCAGCTCCAAACTTCATGCAAAACCATGAGATTGATACTGATCTCCTGATCTCTTATAAGAACGCTAACATCCCTAAATGTTAAACTGTCCCTTTAGACTTTGAACAGAAGGACTGCTTTTTGTTTTTGTGTATAAAGAAAATTAAATGATCCATATTGTTTCACCCAAAGCATGCTGGGAAGGGCTCTAGCCCCAAGGAACCCTGAATAAGATAAACAAAAAAGTTATACTAACTCTTGATGAAGTGAAAACAAGCAAAATGTGTCTGCTTCAATTTAATAAAAGTGACAAGTAGACTGAGCTGACCCTTTCCCATCATTAAGTACGACCAACGAGTTCTGATGCTGTCACATGTGGGATCAGTTAACTGATTATTATTCCTCTCATTATTTCCACATAAATGAGGCACAATGAGTGCACCAGGTAGTGTTCGGACTCATTTGTCCAGTTAAGGACCTCGGCCTCTCCTGCACGTTTGATTAGTTTGGACAAGCCAGCAAGACCAGCTCCAGTGCTGCGTGCGAGCCAAGTCTGTGTCACGCTGAAAAGTTTTCTTAATTGTTTTTAAATGTCAGATTTGATTTTGCTAACATAAAGGGTGAAAAGAACAGTTTGACTTTAAAAACTCCTTAAGTCCATGGACTAACACTCATTAATTAAAGGAATTCACCATTTGTCTTCTATTTGTCTTGATAAAGATTTTTAAGATGTACGATGCTGCACAGGGAGCATTTAGGTCAAAATAAATGGACCTATGAAAGTCCGAGAACGCCTAATAGCCAGAACGTTTAAGGAATAGTTCACCATATTTCAGAAAATAAACTTCTTTGGTTTCTGTCTGAGTGAGATGAAAAGACCAATTTCAATGTAATGTCTGCATGTTCATGTATTTATTGGTTTATTTGGCAGGGACAGTGCACATTAATAAAACATTGCTGTAAATGTGCCAGTTAGCCAAGAGGCTGTTTTTCATGTGTTAATTACTGAGCTGGAATCAGGATGTGGTTAGCCTAGCTTAGCATAAAGACTGGAAGCAGCAGGAAACTAACCTGACGAGCCAGATGTTTCGTCACACAGAACCACCCAAGAAGCAGCTTTACTAAGCTTTAAAATTACGTTTTATCGAAACCTCAACCTGTTTTATTTTTGTTATGCTAACATTGTCCAATGTTCAATGCTCAAATCTCAAAGCACTGCTACATAAAGATAGATCCAACAGGAAACAAAAATCACATCATAAGTCCTATAAATGAAAATAAAAATGATTAAAAAAATAATTACGTGTTGCAAAGTGCAGTGTTAGTCAATGCAGCTTTAGATCGGCTGCCGGATGACTCAGTGTCTATTTAAAATGCAGTTTCCCACTCAGTCATCCAGGTCAATGACTTGGACATGGTTTTGTCCCACAGATGTGCCTGGACACACCACAGATGTTGGATGATGGAATAATGTAGCTTCTGAGTGTCATGATGACTGATGCCATTCATGCTCATAGCAGAGTGATACAGGCTTTGACTTGTCTGCTAGTTAGATGGGCTCCATATGTCAGAATAACTGAGACTTGTAGTGGTGGTGTAGTGTCATCTAGTGGTGGTCTGACAGTATGGTCAAATAAGGGGTCCACCTCCAAGTCTGGTTGCCATATCTTAAAGGGACAATTCACTCCAAAACAACTTCGATTGATGAATAACACTTTAGGTAAGAGGGAAATACATATTTTTGATTTGGGGGTGAACTGTCCCTTCAATAAATCCTTTGAGATCGTCATGAAGGGTGTAAGTGAGCTTTCCCAGAGGCAGTACTCTCGGTACCTCCTTACACCAATCGCCCAGTGCAGGATGTGCTGAGAAATACAGAATTTGGGAGTTGTCTTTATGCTATCAGAGTATTCCAACCAGTTTGGTGTTGTGGTTGTTCCATGCACTGTCCACTTTAACTTCCTAAAAACACTGAAGTGGTTATATATCCAATCAAGGTAACCACCTCAACTTTCACTTCTCCAGAAATTGTTGTATCTTTGCATATTTTTGTGCATGTGTGTCAATTTCTGAATTGCATTTAATACATTTAGGAGAGCTTCGACCAAGCTTGCATCTTAATAATGGTATAATATTGTAAATTGTGTCCGTCCATCAGTATTACCGCTCAGAATACAAAATGCATTTTTCTAACTGATGCCCAGATATATTCTATCAATCTGCCGTTGCTTTTGGATGTGATCAATGGAATAATTCAAATCTAAACCAAAGGTTTCATACACATAAGAAAATATTTTTGGTAGGGTTGTTTAAGAATATCCCCTAAGAGACACATTTCAAGCATGAACATTGCTGTTATACAATGTCTTATTTGTTAATAGCGGGAGGAGAAACGAGACCGATGTACGGAATATTTACTGTTGAAGCCCTTCAGTGACCCCATTGTTCCTTCTTCAGAGTTTGACCAGCTGCTGCTCCTCCACCATTCTCCTGCCAGAGCCTAAACACAGAATCTTGGCCTTGATTTCTCCATATGTGGGCCAGAAGTGAAAAATCATTTTAAAATGTCAGACCATAATCTTATTCCATGTGTTCAGAACAATAGTTACTTTGAACCTCCAGTTTTAACAAAGATGCTCTCTAGAAATGGTCTCGTGTTACCTTGTGATTTACAGAAGCAGTCCTTCACTTTATAGTCTCCACATCAGTTTGGACCATGAGCACTTCCTTCAAAATCATTGTTCTAAAGGTGGAATCAAACAGAACTGGAAAAACAAAACAAAAAAAAAAAAAAAAAAAAACTTGTTTCATTTAACTCAAAATGTCCTATTCTACTTCTATTGGGCATTTAATTAGCTGAAGACTTGACTGAGATTTAAATGTCATCTGTATACACTTATACTGCAGAGCTTTCTCCTTTTCAAACTGCCTTCATGCAATGAGCCATCCATACACCACAATATGCAAAACAGTGACTGTGCAGGCTTTATTCAGGAATCCAAAAATGACTACAGGGTATACCCAGTTCACGTGAGTCCAGTGGTAAACCGATCTAAAACATGCAACTACACAAGGCTGCCATTAATAGTTTGCGTGCTGAAGATGGTTCCAAGCATGCCATGACTCAGTCCACACAGAGGCTGTGGTGGTCCTTTGCTTTTCATTGATCGAGGTGGATTCTTTCAGACCGGGAAGATTAAGACCACTAAAGCCACATGTACACCATCCACACTGGAGAAGCCTTCTGAATGCCTACAGGTCAGAAATAAACCCACGAAAATGCAAGAACAGACCGCAAATGCCCAATAAGAGCTTTATTAAAACACCACTTTAAACATGTGAATTCCACAAAAGAAAGTTTCAACAAAAACTGCAGCACCAGAAAAAAAAGCCAGAACACAAAAAATGAGCTTCTCTGAAGCCACTTTTAAAAAAATACCCCAGGTGAGTAAATGCAAGCTCAACCATACAAATAACTCTTAAGGTGTTCTACGCTACAACATTTAAACACTTGATGCAGACTCCGTCCTGAGATGGCATGACTCCCAGAGCACTTCAGGTTATACCGTCTTCTGCTGGCCCTTCTTTCCTATCAGAGACTTGTGGATGTGAGGGATCACACCTGGGAAACAGAGGACAATGGATGAGCCATTAACAGAGCTGCAGACAAGCAAACCACAAACCGTTTAGTTGGTAATCAGAAAATGTAGAGGAAACAAGCTAGAGAGCTGATGGATGATATATTAAGACTGTCTCACTAAATGTAATGGTTATTTGTGTGACCATTAGTACCTAGTCCATGATAAATATAACAATGGAATGGCATATTTAAAATATAATTGCGTTGCTCAAAGCTCAAGACTTTTCAATGCCACTTGGTGCAGAAGCATCTCCTTACCTCCACCAGCAATAGTAGCCTTGATAAGAGAATCGAGCTCTTCATCTCCTCTAATGGCCAGCTGCAAGTGGCGGGGGGTTATACGCTTCACCTTAAGGTCCTTTGATGCATTTCCCGCCAACTCCAGCACCTGAAATAAATAGTTAACATAAGTCAGAAAACAGCAGCACCCGGAAGGATGAGTAGCACGCAGGCTCAGCGTTACCTCGGCCGTGAGGTATTCCAGAATAGCCGCGCTGTACACCGCTGCAGTGGCTCCCACTCTGCCGTGGCTGGTGGTTCTGGTCTTGAGGTGTCTGTGGATACGACCCACTGGGAACTGCAGCGATAAGAAAGAGAGCGGACATTGGTGCAGAGAAACAAAGGGATCACTGGCCCGACGGTGAGAGACGGCCAGCTGAGTAGCCTCTGCGACATCTGCTTGTTAACGTTAGCTTGTGGCTACGTTAGCGCAGTCGAGGCAATGATACATATCGGTGGACGAACCTGCAGTCCTGCTCTCTGCGAGCGCGAAATAGCCTTCGTCTTGGTCTTCCCTGAGTCTTTACCTGCCTTACCACCGGCCTGGAAAACACGAAAACAGTTGCAGTCGTTAAATCGTATTGCCGTGAAATGACATTACCTAAAAGGTGGACAATTCTATCATTACTTTCTGCATTCAGTACCCATTCTAGTGCTCGCCCATTGCAGCCAATGGCGATAAGTTAGCTAGCATGCTACGCTAGTACAACAGCTAAGAAGCTAATAGTTAGCTATTCAACATTCGCTAACGGCTATTAAACATGTGTTGCCAACAAACCGCTAATAGTCACCGTTTTCCGATATGCCACCAAGACAACATGGAATACTAACCATATTTAAAATCCACAAAGAAGTTCTGAAGCTGCAGCCCAAAATCGAGTGTGTCGCGCGATACTACCGACTGTTGGCTTGCATTAAAACCTCCGCCCGCAATTGTCCCTTATATATATAGCCGACCTTCATCCGGGTAACTGCTCTGAGAGCACTAGCCAATCACATTTCGTCATATGTTTCCTGCCTTGGCGTTCGGCAAGTAAAGACCTCGCTTTTTGGGAAATGTGGTACATTGCTGATGGGTAATGTAGTGTAGACTGACTATTCCCGTTGTTTTTTTCGTAATGAAAGAACAAGTTAGGTCTACTCTGAACTCTGAAAATGTATCAGAAGTTGACACTACACTTCAGATACTAACGCTAACGTGTTTTCTACTCTAAGTTAGGCTAAGTTGATATGTTGGGTGAAAATATAGGCAACATTTGTTTGTTTGGACATTTATTAGGCCAATTGCATGAACCATGTCAGGAAGCCTGCTCACTAATATCAAAATGACACAGTGGACTCTTAACATGTGGTCCATGTATTGTCCCATAATGAAAATATCTTCTTCTTTTAACTATTAAAGGGGGAAGCAGAAAACTACAGTGGCCACAACTTGTGTGCAAATCCTACTTTTTATGATTAAAACCAAGTTTCTTGATCTAATACATTATGACTTTAAAAAAAACTCTTCATCAAAAAGTAACATTTTTATATTAAAAACTGCTGGTTGATTGCATTTCCTTTTTTTCTCAGAATTGCAAAACTTGTTTTGCAATCCTCTCCTAAAAGGAGCCACAGACACTTGATGTGCTGTCACAACCCCTTAGGCCTAACTGTCTCTTTCCACTTCCACTGGTCTCTCAGCATGTTCATTGTCCCGTTGTAGTTTCTTACTGAAGCCACATGAGGGCAGTGCATGCTCAGGATTGTTCATGCTCTCTTTGCTCTACAGCCATCGACTGTACTTCACTATATGTTGACTCCAAGTTACAGTGACAGACATTATGTAAGGTTTTAGATGCAGAAGAAGTCATTGTTGTTATACACTCATCTAGTTTGATTAAGTGGGATCATTCATTTTATGCCCAACAGCAACCTCACAATGTAAAGCCAAACAATCAAAATAAATCATAAAATAAATAGATAGATCTATCTATCCATGAATTTCATATCATATATATATACGTATATATATATGTATATATATACATATATATATACATATATATATATATGTATTCAACAAAGCAAAACAAAATTAAATATAATATTGATTTTTCCATGCATTTTCTGTATATATATGTGACCCATGATGGCTCAAACACGATTCAAAACATTTTCATCTACTTATTTATAAACTCTCAGTCAGTTTACATCTTATTTTAGCAGTAGTGGGTGAGGCCTTATGGATTTTTGTCCACATTAGTGGTTAGTTGTCTAATAATGATCACATGCTAGTTATAGTTCACCCTGACACCAGCAGCAGGTGGGGGAGTCATGAAAGCAGAGAGATTTCAGCCTCCTTTTCATCCTGTTTTACTGCAGTGTTGATCTGTAACAGGCTCCAGTCGGGGGTGTGTGTCAGGACTTGATAAGACAATCTGTGTGTGTGTCTGTGTGTGTGTGTGTGGGACAACATGCACAGCTGGTGGTGGGCTGGTCACGTCTAAATCTCATACCATTCATTCCCAGGCGTACTCCCCTTTCAGCAGTCACTCACTCACTCTCTCCCCTGGCCTCATTCTCCTCTCCCTCTGTTCCTCAGTCACTGTCAGTCACCTCCCCGTCTCTCCTGCCTCTGTCACTGAGCTCTTTGACCGCCGTGATACAGTGGATCACAAAATATTGTTGGATAGGATCTTACCACATTGCACATTCTGACTCCAGTTCAGTGCTTAACTCACAGACATGAGCTTGATATTGATCTTCTCATGTCACACCCAGAAATATAGACAACTGGCATATTTCCAAAAGGGCTGGACTATTTCTTTCAAAATCACCTCCAGACAAATTTTGATGACGTTGAAATACAATTACCATGTTCAAGATTCTTAAAATTACATGTACCCCATAACAATACAGACTCCATCGATATATTTCAAATGTTGAACTGCTTGACACAAATTGTCTCGACTTCTACACGCTCATTGGACACGATTGGCTCCAAACTATTGTGATGTCAAGAAGTCCTGCTGGTACATCCATGTGTTCTGCTGAGACTTAAGTGGAGCACAGAGAAACAGCCCTTCAACATGATAGTGATAGCTGTAGCTTTGGTCTATGAAGCTGAGAGAGGATCAGTGAACGTATATCTGGCCCTGAGAGAGAAGTGACAGGAACCCGACGATGCCTCTACAGCCCACTTGGGGAAAAACAAGAGGAAGAGAGGGAGAGCTCAGAGGAAGAAGGGATGGACAAAGGGCGTGAGAAACTGTGATGTCACTCCGGCTGCTAACTCAAGAAGAAACAAAAACAGAAAGAAAAAAAAAGTTTGGTGGGAAAAGACTCCAGAGTTAACTGGAGAAGAGATTACTGGGTCACTGCAAAGACCTCAAAACAAGTGAAGACATCGGCACCTTAATAACGTGACGTTGAGACAACAATTTATCTCACAAATGCAAGTGAATATGAATACCATACCCACGTGCACATCCAGCTCTATGCATTGGTCACAGTGTAAACCGATGACATTGTTCCAAAAGCATGTGGGTCAATGAAGAGCATAAATATTCACACTCATTAGCAGGCTTTACTTTATGTCGCTGCTTCTTTTGTTGTCAGCTCATGTTGTGTCGCTTTCAGAGATGAGGAGGATCAACTGTGTGTGTGTGTGTGTGTGTGTGTGTATGTGTTTCAGCTAATCGGCCAAAATATTCCGTTCTGGAAACGGACCAACCAAAATGAAGTTGTGTGAGTTTCAGTCTTTAGTGGCAAATGTTGGTTTGAAGCACCTGTGTGAAGGATTTAAAACTTAGTGACTTTGGCGACTATTAGAAAAGACAATGTGACAGACGGTCCTCATGAGTCTTCTCTCCTCCTTCACCTCCAAATGACATTGGATCTAACCGTGTCAGGTCCCGTTGTCTAGACGTGGGTCCTGGGAGGAAGTGTGAAGTGCAGGAAACATGTGTTGCTGCTCTTTTTGATTTAATTGGTGGATCATCCTGCTGCCGCTGCTGTTGCTGTTCTCTCTTCTTGGCTTGACCACATTGGGATCTGGTCTGATTATCCTCAGGGCTGCAGCAGCATACCAACACCAAAACCAACAGTGACATACCACTCCTCGACACGTCACTACAACAAACGGCATACCATCAGCCATGAGCAGCGCTGCTGCCAGAAAGACCACCACAACGCACATCTATACACCCTCCAACCCTGCACTCGCAGATCTGAGCCAGGCACACGCGGAAGAATGGGTCGAAAGAAACATAAACTGTACCAATTTTCTCTGAAATTGTCAAATTTGCCACAAAAGATGCTTCAATCACATGTAAATTCAACACAAGGGGGCCTTTAAATCAGTGGTCTCGTACCACCGAGACCCATAGAGGCACAAGCAGCTCATTTAAAATCAAAACCTGCAGATTGTTTTGTAGTATTAAAACCACAATAACGAAGAGTCACAAGAGTTGCTTCAGGATGCCTGTGCTGAGACTTCTTCATCACCATTGGCAACACTGTGATGGTGCCTGCTATGGACAGTGAGGGTGTGAAACTGGATGATGACCTGTTGTTCTCAGCAAACACAGGAGCCTGTAGATCCCTGCTGTACAACACATTTAGATCAAGAAGGGGACCAGGCCATGTTCAAACCCTGACCAGTGTGCTCCCCTGCCCATTAGTTAGGCTGCCAACTTATTTCCTTCAGTATTTGTCACAGTACTGTATTGCACCTTATGTCCAAAATGTATGCACTGATGGATTATTTCATTATGTTTGTTAATAATGGATATGCGTTATGAGTTAACCCGAAAAACGGCAACAGCAGCAAACAGAATCTGCGGCCCCGTATCCTCCAAAGACTTTATAGTTCATAAGATGGAAAACAGACAAACAAAGGAGAACTCAAAACAGCAGCCCAAGCAATATCACAATACCTCCCCCTGGCTGGGGGAGGAATGCTGTGCTTTCACTACAATCTCAGAGAAATACAGTTGGCAGATTGAGTTAACCAGTGAATGCTAATGGATTTTACAAGTGCATGTAGTGAAAGTTAACCCCCACGCACCCAGCACATACTCCCCTGGTCGCAGCTGGACAACTAGTCAGACAGGACTTTGACAGATGGTCCAATGGGACGCTGGGAGAGGGAGGGAGGGCACAAGCGCTAAGGAGTAGGATGGATGCATGGAGAGGAGGGGACAATGCAAATGGTGAAAAAATGTGTGTGTGTGTGTGTGTAGGAGGGGAGTCAGCTGTTCCTGAAAGAATGGAAGAATAAGACTAAGGGTTATAAACCTCACGGGAGGGGAGGGGGGACCATGCAGTCCTGCTGATGCTGCATTTGCACTTATATGGCCGTTTAGACACGTGCATGTATTGAGACACACCAACACAGTGGACACACACTGGTGTAGTACTTTATTTAAGACCAACAACAACTGAACAGAATGCCATTAATATGACATGAGCTTTCATTCATGATAAATGAAACATTCATTGGATCATCTGGCCAGCTGCCTCACCACGCACCCAGCTTCATGATTGGTTCATGTGTTAATTATGTCTGTACTACTCTTATTCTGATTGGTTCGTAATAGCATCAAGTATAGTATTGTTTCTCCTCAATTTCAAGCTATAATCATATGCAAGCAGAGACCCCGCCCCCACGAGTGGCAGTCAAATTACTCGCATTGTGACCACGCCCATTCATTATCGTTTTCTCGCACTGGCTGCACCCTTCTAAAAAGCCAGGTACAACAAAAAACCGTTCGTTTTGGTCAACTTCCGGTTGTGACTATAAAAATAAAATGTTTAAAATGCAACCAAACTAGCTCAGCAGAAAGTAAGGCAAGATTTTCATATTTTATTCAATGAGTCGGCTATTGAATTATATTTAAAAAAAAGTGATTACCATTGATTACTATCAAAATTATGTCATTATAATTAGTACAAGATTACATAGACCTATGCAATAAAGTGTTTAAGAGGTATTGTATGTTGCTGAAAAAATCCCTCCATAAAGGTCAACAAAAGGCAAACACTGACCCAACCAAAATGTTTTGTATTACATCACAGAAACAGAGTCTTGAAAATCAGTCCCCTCTTCTTAACTGCATGTTGAATCATTACATCTTAACAAGTCTCAAATCTGCTCTATGCAGCACTGGCATGAAAGATATGATATCATTTTAAAAACGTGTGTCCACAATAATAGCTAAGTTAAACCTGATTTTAGTTACTGGCTTACAATATGTTGAATTAAGTTGTACTCTGTAACAGTTAACAGTTTTTTTTTCATCGCCCACTAAAAGTACAGAGCTCAATGTTTTGGAATAGTGTGATCAAAACTGACGTTCTTCTGAAGTTTTGCGCTTTTATTTTGAAGGAAAGCCACAGTGTTCCCGTAAATTTGCTAGCTTGATGCAACTTCCTGAAAGATTGACAGCTTGAACCGCTCTCGCTTACTAGTGGAAACGGGAGCTCCCGTTGTGTGAGAGACGCAATCACAACGCCAACTGATTTCTCTCGGATTTAATTTTGTACTTTGAAAGAAGTTTACAAGAAGCGCTCTCAGTTGTTGGAGTTTATAACAATCTTCGGGGTATGACAGTGGAGCGGAATCTTCCAACAAAGTAAAAGGTGGTAGACGTGAGCGTCTGATGGCTGCTGGGGATGGAGCCCAGCTGCCTGCCACAGTAGCGGCCAGCCGCAGCGTGGAGAAGGCGCTCGAGGAGGCTGCCGCGAGCGGGGCTCTGAACTTGTCGAACCGAAAGCTGAAGGAGTTTCCCCGGAGCGCCAGGAACTACGACTTGTCCGACATTACGCATGCAGGTCGGTTTGCTTTTTCACTATTTCCCTTAACTTACAAAGCAGTACGAGCGAGCTAGCTGTTATTACGAGAACCGCCTTTTGTTTTGTCGCCACCTGCTTCTTTCTTCTAACGGAGTCGGCTCATCCTTCCGCTGCGCCGACACGTTTCACAAGACTCGCTCAAGTAGCTCCGCACTTTGTTTGGTCCCGATGACTGTCACAACTCCTACATGATGAATTAAGACTTCTTTCAAATCACCAGGCCCTCCCTCTTATGTCGGCACGTGGGTACCCCATCAAACTGTTGTGAAATCAATAAGAATATTCATAAAAGTGGCCCATAACGTCTTTTTTAACCAACCTGCAGTGTGAGCTAAGTGTTTGCCGTTAGCATGTGTGCAGCAGACGTCTTTATATCTTAAACTAAAGTCCCCGCGTGGTGGACTCTGTGAGGTGGAGGCTTACTCGATGGGCTGTTTACTGCTCTCTTTAAGCACATCCACATGACGCTCCAGCTTTTTAGAAGAAGCTTGACGTGTTTTCTTGAAGTGGACTTCAAAGTAAAAAGCAAAAAACCCGTGAGATACCAGTTCCTCTTCCTCAACACATCCTCTGATAGGCGACTGAAACGGGTCTACACTGGTTGTCTTCGAGTCGTTTTACTGAACGTCCGAGCTTTAGTCACTCCGTTTGACTGAACAGTGGTTCTGGTGAAGGTTCTGGTAAAGGTTTCGGTTGCCTTTAGTATTTTCTGTGACTGATGAGCCCACAGTGTAACAACATGGCAACCTTTAGTGAGCAGCTTCCTGGACTGTCTCTTGACTGTGTGTCACTTCATCTCATTGAGATGTCTTCTCAGCACGTTGTAGAAAGCCACTGATAACAGAGTCAAACCTAACGGTGAGGAAGGTGTGGAGCACGCTGTGGATTAAAGGCCTCGCCTTGTTGAGAAGAGGATTACACCATCCAGGTTGCTGAAATCAGTCTGGCTACAGGGCTTTAGAGCAGCACCCCTATCCTCGGCTACTGCTTTCTGTGCTCTGGTAATTATGACCATCTGTTCATAACAACCCGGGTCCAGGCCCTGTGGGATGAGAAGGCCTTGAACAAACACAGGCACCTGCCGCTGGAGCAACCCGACCCTAATGACTACGGAGGGGATGAATACATCCCATAGCTGAGTTTATCCAAGCGCAGGTTCTGTGATAAACTAATGATCCAGCTTGGCAAGTCAGTGGAAGAACAAGTTGGGCTTAAAGGGGCAACAGCTGCTTACACTGTACAGTTTACTCTTCATGTGTATTACTCATGAAGATAGTTGTTTATTGTCATCTGTGGCTCTGGAGGAGCTTTGTCTTACAAAATCACACTGATGATGTCATAGTGATGTCATTGGGGAAAGTGGGAAACCTGCGTTAGAAACTGGCGACATGGAGTTTGAAGACTTGGGAATATATCTTGCAAGTGGGGTGTAATGATGCTATTAGTATGCATTATGGGAAGTGTAGTATGCAGAACTTTGGAGCTTGAGCCATTAGAGTTGGGTCGATTTTCAGTTTAAAAACAGGAAAAGTCATAAATTCCAGAGGGATGTCAAGAAGTATCATCAAGAAATGTCCAAATGGAATGTGTTCATCTTCTCCATCCGCCTTGGCTTCACCTCTAAAGTGACCAAGGCAGCTGCTGACTGTCACACTGCCTCATCCTGACTCATCTGTTATTCATTCCGCTCTAATTCTAGGGCCGTGCTCTTCTATGGGCCCAATTGTAGACATTTAGTCTTGAATACATGTTTTTGCAGCACCATAGTGTGTGTGTGTGTGTGTGCGTGTGTGTGTGTGTGTGAGAGAATCTTTACTAACCTCTTGTTAAGCGAGGGAAGTGTGTGGAATGTGATGCATTACTAGCTCACCGTAAGCTCTTTACAGGCAGACATAATGTTTCTGAAGATAATGATCAAATATTGGGAAAACTAGGTTCAGTTTGATATTTAGTAATGCCGTTGATGTGATTTCTTCTTCTCCTGCTGACACACAGCTCAGCAGCAGTTGTCTCTAGTCAGGGAGAGGGCAAGAGGTTGAGGGACAAAGAGCATTACAGTAAATCAAGCTCATAGCTAATAAGCTGTTGGTGGTTAGCCTGGAATACCAGATAGGACAGGAGACAATTTGCAATTGCAGTATTTGTTTCTTGAAACAATGGATGTGAGGTCTGAGGTAGACGACGTCCTCCGTCGGAGCGCTGCGCTCTGTTGACACGGAACACACCGATCCAGGATGCTTCGATGGAGCCGGGTCTCTGCTTGATGTAGGCCCAACAGTGTCTGATGTATTATTGCTGGGCTAGCCGAGTTCCATTTCATCCTGACCCACCTCCTGTGAGCGGACATCAGCCAGGAGCAGGCTGGGTAGTGGAACAGCCTTAGGTCCAAGCTGGGCCAGCCCACCCCTAACCCCCTCCCTGTATCCCGGGGCGGTCAGACCGTCCTCGGTGGATCTTGGTACGACTGGAGTGTAGATACGGTTTTTGATGCTTTGTGTTTCCACTGGTGGAGTCTATAGTAAGGCTAAAGATGAGAGGCTTAACCTTCTCGATATGTAAAGTTTGGAAGACCTTATAACCAGGCTACTGAATACAACAGGGGCTGGACAATATGACACTTCAGATTTTGTAATGCTTTCCCTCAAAACTCTGTCGTTGCACTCACATAGCTCTGCTTGCGCTAGTATTTGCTCTGCTTCTGTCCAAACTGTATGCTTCCACGCAGATATCCTGTGCTCCAGCTTCAGCCACACTATGCCGTCTTTGCATCCTGGCATCGCCTCTTCTCACAGGGCAGGTGGACTGTGTTGTCTATTCTAATCAGGTGGCACAAGGCTGAGACACCCTCTTTTATTTCCCTCAGGAAACCAGTGGTGTCATCAACGGTACAATTACAAAATGTCTGATATTTCAGAATATTAATAGAAATGATATTTGATTCCGTTTCTAATGTAATCACAAGTTGTAAACATAGTGTCAGAGTGGCCTAGTCTTATGTTAGTCTATAACAGTTGAATGCACACAGATCACTTCTATATTTGCATATAGTTAATTTGACCAAAAGTGTTTCACATCTTAACTGGTTTTAATGATGAAACGTTTAACCTATTGAAGGAATCTTGCCTCAATATTGAAACATGAGTCAACTTCAGATCATGACATCATGTGTCACATGTCCATGGAAAAGGAAGTGTCAACAGGATGTCCTGCTCATGTGATCAGTTATGTTCATATCAAAGTAGAAAACCCCCTTTCACTTCTAAACAGCAAAACATGGATTTTATTTGACTGCCTTGTAGAGAAATGGAGATAAATAAATCCAGTATTTCTAATGTCCAGTACTGTAGCTGACTCCTGAGGAGCATCTCTCTATAGCTGCTAAATCTTCTCTCTTGTTATTTTGCCCCTCAGGTGTTTAGTGCTACACAGGTAGCATACAGGCAGCCTGTCTGAGCTTGTTGGATGAAAACTGGTTGTCCATGGGGAGGGTTGATAATAATGGTGATACTCTGTCTGCATCATCGATGTGCAGGCAGGAGAATAAGAACACTAAGCTGAAAGCTGTGTTGAGCTACAGCAATCTCTTACAGACATGTACTCATGGACAGTTGAATTGAATATTATGTAATTCATCTGAGAGCAGCCACAACAATCAGGGTCAATTAATTAGAAGTTCAGCCAACCAATCAGCCCAAAGTTCACTTCAAATGTCAATAATTAGGATAAACAAATCATGAATGAATTTAGACGCAGCTCATTTAATATCCAGAGTGAGTCGGGGTGGGCAGGATGTTACAGACGGACATGAATATGCTGGTTGAACTGGGATAAGACGAGGCGGGGGAGGCCCAGCAGTGGTTATGATAACATCAGCCCCCCTTCTTCTTTACTGGAGCAGCTTCCCTGAGGAAGGTCAAAGGTTCACACACACACACACACACACACACACACACACACACACACAAAGAAGGAGACTTGGCTCGCCTCCCCCAGAGTGTTTCCCGGTAGCTCAGAGCGGTGGAGGAGAACAAAGCCCAGCTATTGTATGTGGTGTGCACCTTGTGGACTCACAAGTGAATACACACAGCTCACCCTCGGGCTGTTGCTTTAATGATAAGGTTTACCAAGTATCGGTTTGAAACAATGATATTTGTGTTTCTGGACTGAAGCTGCGGAATGAGCCCCAATATTCTGAATCATTAATGTCTTTTATATCATCACTTTCATTCCAAAAATATATTTTCTAGTAAGTGTGCAAAATGACAAATATAATAAATGCAATGAAGTAGAAGAACATCACTAGTGTACTATGTGATGTTTTGTTGATGACAGACCTCACAAAATGATACGAGGCATTCATGTTTGTTAGATTTTCGGGCACTTCTGATGTGTCTGATATATTACAGCTTTTCAGAACAATAATAAGTTTCCCAGTCATGATTAGGTCATTTACAGGGTGTAATCTGGTAATTACTGTAAATCTGATGGCAGAGGCCTTGTTTACATGGAACTGTAGTTATTGCATAGATGGTCTGTTTTCATCAGCTGTGTGTGAGTCTAAAGTCATTATCGATTAATATGCAGATCATTTACATCTGACATTTTTAAAAAAATAAAATCACAGAAAATGTGTAAATGCCCTTTATAGTTTCCTAAAGCCCAACATTTGGTTAACGCTTGTTCAAAATGTAAAGCTATTGAGTTTACTTTCATATTTGACCACGAAAAGTATTTGATGTGCTGGAAAGGGCGCAAGTTTGGCATTTTTTGCTTGACATATGACTTAAACATCTAAGTCACTATTACAGTATGTAATATAATTGATTGATTGGCAAAAATATTTAGTTCTAATTCTGTCAAATCTTTTCACCTGCAAATGACATGCAATACAATATTTGTCATTCTTTGTTTTGGCTTGGATGCCTCCAGGTTTGACATGCGTGGGAGCATTTGTTAAGGCCTCCGTACGTCCTGTCTGA